TGGTGGCACAGCTGTGTGCCCACCCGGACCGGGCCGCTGCCATCCCGTCAGCCCCGGCCGGGAGCGGAGCGGCGGACACGGGCCGGCTGTCCCCGCGGTGCTGTTCGGAATCGGACCGTCGGAGCGCCGCCGTTGTCCCAGCGCTGTGTCCCGGGCTGGGCCCGGCCCTGGGGTAATCCTGCAGCACCGAGGGATTACCGCTGGCGCTGCCCTGGAGGATTAAGGGATTTCTCAAAGCGGGGTTGATGCGAGCTCTGCAAAGCGGCTTGTGCCGGGGGCCCGCAGCTGGGGCAGCGCCGGGGTGGGCTGGGGACGAGCAGCCCGTTGCCAGCCCTGCTGTCTGGGCAGGTCCCAGCAGGTGCCTTAGGATGGGCTCAGTGGGGCGCTTTGGAGGCTCAGCCCTGCAGCAGGCACTGGGGGCTGTGGGGACACGGGGGTGAAGCCCTGTGTGTAGCTCTGAGGTGAGCTCTAGGTTGCTGGGAGAACAGGCAGTGTGGGACTGGGGTCAGCCTGGGCTCAGGGAGTGTGGGGCAGAGAGATATTGGGGCTTCGGAGCATGCAGTGTTGTGAGAAAGGCCTTTAGCCAAAGTAGACAGAGCAGAGTGTGATGAGCAGCACTGCTGACACGCAGAAATTGCATGGAGGCCCAGGCAGGGCCACGCATCCCTGAGCTGTTGTTTCAGCCCAGCCACGGCTCTGGGTGCACAGTACTGCGCCCATTGCCCAGAGCTGGGGCTGCAGGGTGGAAGCAGAGCAGTCTTGCACCACTCCCAGGGCTGCTCTTGGGCAGACAGAGGCCAGGGCCTGAGCCACAGTTGGTGCAGCTCGTTTCAAGTGCCCATGGCTGCCCTCCCTGCACAGGCTTCCTCTGGCCCAGCCCTGTGTCCCTGCGGCTCCTTACAGCTTTCACCTCTATGTAGGAGGAGGCAGCAGCTGCTTTGCTTCCCCGGGAAGGGGAAGCAGTGCAACTCAGTCGTGGAGGTGATGAGCGCCTGGGAGCAACTGCTCCCATCTCTTTCCCACCCATCCACAGCTGCTCCCAATACCTGGGTAACTCCTGCCTGTGCCCAACACTGCATCCCTCAAGGCCCTGTGTCCATTCCCGTAGCCCTTCCCCATCTGAGCACTGCCTGCCCACTTTGGAGTTCTCCCATCTCAGCCCATCTCAGTGCTGCCCAGTACAGGTGAGCAGAGCTCAGGCTCCCAGCAGCAGTCCCAGCTGTCCCAGGTGCCGTCTGCAGGACGTGGCCTCATGCCCCGACAGGCTCTGGAGTTTGTTACTCACGGACTTGCCCCACGCTGGGGAATCACTCCTGCTTGCAGGGAGGGAAGGAGCTGTCTGTCCGGTTTGGGCTCGCTTGGCGCCTGTGGGGCTGGCAGATTGGGGGCCGGGTGCGGTGGGGCCAAACGCTGCCCCCAGCCCTGCCGGGGGCCAATAGCTCAGTCAGAGCCCCAGCTCCTGCTGTGGGAGCTGCCAGGGCCTGGGGAATCGTCTCCAGCACAGCCGTGGTGTTCCAGCTCCAAGCTGCCCGCTCTGCGCTCCCAGGTGCCCAAGTCCGTCGGGGCCATACTGGGGAGCAGCGTTCCCCTGTGCCCCACGACTGGGGGCTGTGGCAGCACCCCTCTCCCCACGCCTGCTCCAGCCCGTTGTGCCTCTTTATGCACCTTCCTTTTATGCAGGGAAGGTTGCTACGCAACCAGCAGCTCTTGATGCTTAAAGCTCTAATACGGAGGGATAAAACCGCTCTAAAAATACCCCACCATCAGCCGCCTGGGTGCTGGGGCTGGCGGGGGGCAGGCAGCCTGAGGCCAGGGGTGCTGTTGGGAACTTCCCAACTCTGCGTCCTCCAAGCGGCTTTGAGCTGCCGGCCGGTGCCCAGGAACACCAGCAGCTGCTGTGCCGGCACGGAGCGGGATTGGCTGGGGCTGGGCGCGTGGGCTCCTGCTGCTGGAGCCTCCCGCTGCCAGAGCTGCCTTATCCTGCTCCAGGAGGAGCGGGGACACCCGGGGCAGCCCCGGCTGCAGGGAGCTGCTGCTGCTGTGTGGTGCCCGCCTGCCCTCTGCCTGCCCCAGGGGAGCCGGCGCTGCGCAGCATGGGGACGGTCAGCGAGCTCTGCGCCTCCAGCTTTCAGGCCTTCCTCTGCCCCTCCGTGGCCACCACGGCAGGTAGGTGCTTCGTGCCCTCTGCTCGCTGCAGCATCCCTGTCCCCCCAGCAGATGAGGTGCCCGTAGCTCTGGCTCCATATGGCTCGTGCTGACAGCAGCGCAGAGAGTCTCAGTCTTCTTGCTGCCTCCTTCCCCCGTGCGCTGCCAGGCTTGGGCCCCCGCAAGCCCTGGGCTCCGGGTGCGGCTGGTATTGCACCATATTGCTGGAATGGGGTGCTGGGGAGCCTGTGGGAGCACAGTGGGTACATGTAGCACACTGAGACGTGTCCAGCAGCCCCTCACCCCCCTGCCCCAGCGCTGCCGTGGGTGATGCCCTCACTGCTACTCCAGTCGGAGCAGGAGCGAGCATGCGTGGCTGTGAGCACAGCTCCAGCCTACATTCTCCAGGCAAAACCTGGCTGGGGCAGCCCAGCGCCTGCTGTGTCACAGCTGCCACTGTGGGCTGGCAGTGCCTGTGAGCTGCTGCCGTCTGTCTGGAGGCTTCTGCTCCTAAGCTGGGACCTGGGAATGGAGTATAAGTGAGGAGGATGTGGGATGCACTCCTGGAACCCACGTGGGGCTGCAGGAAGGTGTAGCTCTGTGAGGGTGGATGTGGCTCCATTATGTACCCCCAAGGTGCTCCAGTCCTGTGACCGAGCTGGGCTCTGTGCTCAGGGGGTGCAGGAGCCTGGAACTAGCGGGGTAGGTTCCCTACTGGGGGTAGGGGTGCAGAAGATGAGGTGTCAAGGCAAGGCTGCTCCAAGGGGCTGAGCATCCCAGCCAGCTCTCAGCTGTGGGGCAGGGCTGGGGGATTCTATCTTGGAGCTGCCCGTCCCTGAGCCGTGCTCCTGACGCACCTCAACTGTCTGTGGGGAAGAACAGGGCTGACGCAACCCAGGATGTGCACACAGCATAGTGAAAACAGGATGTGGTGCACTGGGGCGGGGGCAGGAAGTTTCTTGGGGCCTCTCAGTCCCCCCCCCCAGCAGTGGGGTGCAGCAGGAGCCCCACAGTGGAGCCCACAGGCAATGCCCTGAGGTCAGAAGCCCATGCCTTGGGCTGGGGTGTCCCTGCGGTCTTCAGCTCTGCTTGTGCAGCACCTGTGCAGCAGGAGGGCTGTGGCCCCACAGCACAGCATTCAGCTGAAAGGCCAATGTGAGCCTTTTTTTAGGCCTTTCTTCCCTGGGCTTTCCTGGGAGATCCCTGCAGCCAGCGCTCTGGATGCCGTTTTTCCATCGCGCGCCGTGGAGCAGGAATTAGCTGAGTCAATGTGGCAGAGCTCTTGTGGTCTCTCCAGGCAGCTGCAGCAGGACAGGGCCTTGTCGAGGGCTCTGCTGCTGCAGGCACGGCACCATTGCGGGAGATGAGAGCAGGTGGTGGCCCTTACAGCCTCTGGGCCCTGAACCCACAGCTGGGGGGTATGGCTGGGCAGCGCCAGATCTTCAAGGCAGGGTAGGGACCCCGGCTGGGGTGGGAGAGGGGTCCCGGGTGTCACCGCCCTGAGCTCGGGACGTGCTGAGCCGCATGCATCCTGGCAGCCCCTGAGGAAGGAAGGGCCGGGCCGGGTGGGCGGCAGCGACCCTGGAGGCCGAGGAGGGGGCGCGGGGCTCTGGCTGCACAGGAACCGGGCGTTGCTGGTGCCAACTCCCGGCCAGGCTGCGATGACGCCTGGCACAGCACGGAGCTCATTGGCCCGGCGCTGCCCTGACTCACCCGGGAAGCGCTGGGAGGGGGCAGCTGTCGGCACCCCAAAGGGCAGCACCTCTGCAGCGCTGTGTGGACGTGGGCAGAAGGAAACGGCCCGGCAGGATGGTCCTCGGGGTGCAGGGCGGCGGTGAGCGGCCAGCAGCCTGCATGGGGCAGCGGGTGGGAAAGAGGCAGGTGGGGCTGGGTGCCATGCAGAGGGGCTTTGTGTCCGTTCAGTGCACGGTGTGAGCGAGGTATGTGCTCCTGTGCCTTGCAGCCAGGACGGAGCCTTGCCATGCTCCTCGCTGCCCTGGGGGTGAGGCAGCTGCTCCCCTGCATTGCTCTGCAGAGGTTGGGGGGATGGCACACGGTATTGGTGCTTTCTGGTTTGTGCTGGAAATCCTTGCTCTCAGCACGGCAGCCTGGGATGACAGCCTGGTGTGGTTGCTGGACTTGGTGCTCTGCTCCAGCCCCCGCTTACAGCCTTGTGCAGGGCTGAGGCTCAGAGGCTGCTGCAGCTCCACTCGGCGCCATGGAAGGGTTAACGCCTGCGTCCTTTGCTGAAAAAAGCTCTGCGTCTGGGGTTTCTCTTCCTCCTGCTGCTGCTGACACGGCTGGGCCGTGTCACGAGTGCTCTCCCAGCACAGCAGCAGGCAGGCTGGCTAGGGGGGGGATGGGGGGGGGGATGGGTTTTGTGGCTGCTATGAGTCTCTCTGAGCCCCCTGCCCACACTGCCCAGAGGTGGGCAGAGACAGCGTTCCCCCGGGGCTCTCTGCGCCTACTGCGTGCCTGCACTGCTCTATCGCTGCTGCAGCCTCCCACCCGTCCACCCACCCTCTGCAGGCCTGGGGGGACTGCGGTCTGGCACTGAATTTCACCTCCCACACGGCCCCACACTGCAACTCCCAGCAAGCCACATCCTGCAGGGTGCTGGACACAGCCAGACCGGAGAGGCCGTGCTCCAGTGGAACCGACTCCATTCCAGTGCTGGGGAGGGTTTGAGCAGCCCACGGAGCAGTGCCTCCAGCATTCTGGGCATAGATAGTTCAGAACCTGGTGCTGTAACTCGGATATCTGAGGCTGGAAATATTGGGAAGTATTCCGTCGAGTCCAGAGGGATCGTGTCGCAAGCTGGAGCTGCTGCTGACCTTTGCAGAGGGGATTTCTCTAAAGGAGGAACCTCATCGGGGAACGCGAGCGGAGTGAGGAAAGTGCTGAGCTGGGACATTCGGTTCGTGTGAGCACAGCCACCACCCCAGAGGCACTGCAAGCCTTGGCGAGGAGGGGGGAACAGCACTGGGGACGGCGCTGGAGAGAGCAGACGGTGCTGGGGTGTGAGAGAGGGGATGGAGGGTCCTGGCTGTTGGGCCCCCAAGGAGTGCTGGGCTGAGCTGGGCCTGGGACAGCACAGGGTGGAATGGAGGGGGCAGTAGGGACCTGGGGACTGTGGTGGCACCTGGGGATAGGTGGGGGAAGAGTGACGTGAAGTGCTTTGTGGCAAGAGCTCTGCTCTGCAGGCACCAATCTTGGAGTTTTGGTCATGCCCTTGTTGTAGGATGTGAGCTGAAAGGCGATGGTAGGGCAGGGGGAGGCGGGGGCTGCCAGGGTGACCTTGGGAACAGGAGCAGCGGGTGCCATGTAAGTGCAGAGCAGGAGGTCATGCGCTGGGGAGCAGCAGGAATGTCACCCCTGAGCTGCAGTGTGAGGGAAGGGCGATGGAGCGTGTGGCTCAGCCCCGGCTGCTGTGGGTAAAGCAAGGCAGCCAGGTGTCACCCCGTGCAGTGATGCGTGTTGGGGTGCACTGGCTCTCACCTCCATTCAGGTGGGTGCATTCAGCATGGAGGAGGCACCAAGGACGGCCCGGAGCCAGCTCTCTCCGGGGTTCACCCGTCGTGGCTTAGCATCGCTCGGGTGGCTCTGGGTCCCTGTGGGGGCTGCAGGGCTGGGATCAGCCAGGCTGGAATGGAGGAAGGAGCACGGGGCTGAGCGGGAGCTGCCGGCAGTGCCACTCGAGGAGCAGGGCATCCTCCCAGCTGTGTGGTGCCATGGCTGCAGTGAGCACAGGGGTTAGAGGCTGCAGTGGCACCAGAGGCTGGGCCAGAGCTTACTGCTTCAGACTAAATCAGCAGGAATCTGTGGGGCCAGGCTCCCCCCACAGCCGCTGCCCAGCTGGGGAGCACAGTGTCCATCGCATTCCTTGCGTGCCGCTGGCAGCTCTTGGCCATGCAGGGCTGGGGCTCACCAGATCCTCCAGTAGCACCACATGCCAGCTGCTGGCAGGATCCTGGCGTGAGGGTGATCCCCTGTGCTGTCCTTGTCCCTCACAGTGCCCAGTGACCTGACCCCGGAGGAGTGCCAGGAGCTGGAAAACATCCGCCGCCGCAAGCAGGAGCTGCTGGCTGACATTCAGGTATGGCACTCAGGGCTGCTGCATGGACGCCTGCATCCCCATCCCTGGCTGACCCAGATGAGGCCTCTTGCTTGAGCCCAACCCCATCCTGGGACCCTCACCTCACTTCTAGCAGGAGAAGAGGCAGCTTTGGATGGGGCTGCCCCACAGCCGCAGTGCCCATGCAGGAGCTGTGGTCTGGCACTGTGCTCCTGTCCCCTTTCCTTGCCAGCTCCTGCTCCTTGCTGCTTGCAAAGACTCTTGTGGAATTTCTGGGGCAGAAAATTGGAGCTGCTGGGAATGCAGGGCAGGGAGAGCTGGGCCCAGGGGGTCAGCAGCTGCTGCACGACCCCGTGATTTGCTGCCCCATCCGTGGCAGGGATAGCCCTGCAGGGAAGAGCTCCAGATTGTACTCTATCCTGTGGCCCAGGCATTGACATCTCCTGTGCCACCCCCTGGCACAGACAGAGACTGTGCTTCTGGGCCAGGGCTTTGTCCTGGCGAGTGGCTGTGAGGTCAGCGCTCATCTGGGACGCTCATCCGTCATGTCCCTGATTAAGGCAGCACAGGCTAATTACTGCCATATGTTGGGTATGATCTAAAGGGATTAGGGGTAATTTTGTTAACCTCTGAATCTCTTCCTTCCTTCATGCACAGAGTGTGGCAGTGCTGCGGGGGGATTAGCAGCGGGGTGCAATCGGTTCCCCTCTGTCCTGTGCCCCAGGAGCTGCTTCAGCCCCAGGACAGCACTCAGGGGGAGACATGGGGGTCTGTGGGAGGAGTAGCTCTAGGGCTGGCACAATCCCCACCTCAGTCTGTGGGGTGCCCTGCATTCTGCTGGGCACCTGGGGGTGGGAGGAAGGCAGGCCCTGGCTCACTGTGTGCTCTCTCCACTCAGCGGCTGAAAGATGAGATCGCAGAAGTGACGAATGAGATCGAGAACCTGGGCTCCACAGAGGAGAGGTGAGCCGTGCTGTGCTGCTGGCCTGTCCCATGGGTGCTGCTGCGTGTGGCTTTCCCAGACACTTCTAATTCCTCAGTGCAGTTGCAGGATCCCAGGCTGAATTGTTCCTCCAGAAGTCTGTTTTTCCAAGGCTCATCCCCTGTCTGGCCACAGAGACTGACAGACTTTGTTATTCTGGGCTGGTGCAAGCAGTGCCAGCATGGGATTAGGGGGTCCTGGTGGGAGCTGACTCGCTGTGTCATTTCCAATTGCCCTCACATTGTCCCCACAGCCCCGCTGCAATGCCAGGCTGCCCCTTCTCAGGCAAAAGGAGGCTGCTGGAATGGTCTGCACAGTGCAAACCCAGGGCAGCTCCATACTCAGGGCCTGGCAGCATCAGAGTGGAGCAGGAGGGGAGCTGAGTGCCAGGTGCTGCATTTTCCCCAGTTTGTGCAGGTTGTGCCCAGATTGGTGCTGGGGAGCCTGTCATGGGTTGAGGAGCTCTGCTTCTGGTCACATCTACACGGGGCAGGAGGCTGGGAGGAGGAAACCAGGGCTGGTGGGGGACATCTCCAGCCTGTATTGGAACTGGGTGATTTTTCATGACCTTTCCTACTCAAACCTTTCTATGACTCTCTTTGACGCTCAAAGCTGTTTTATGTCCTGCAGGAAAAACATGCAGAGAAACAAGCAGGTGGCAATGGGCAGGAAGAAGTTCAACATGGATCCCAAGAAGGTACTGGGGACTGGCACCAGGCTCGGCAGGGTGTGCTGCACACCATGGTCTGGGTGCTGAGCCAAGCAGAGCCAGGAGCAGGGAATGGAATGGGGTTGGAAGCACGACCCAAAGCAATGCCTCTTGCTCTGCTCCAGGGCATCCAGTTCCTGATTGAGAACGACTTGCTGAAGAACACGTGTGAGGATATCGCTCAGTTCCTCTACAAGGGAGAGGGCCTCAACAAGACAGCCATTGGGGACTACCTGGGTGAGAGGTATGCAAGGCCTGGAGCAGCTCGGTCCTGTGCAGGAGGAGATGGTGCAGCCCTTGCAGGGTGCAGCTGGGCTGGCTCCAGGGCCCCCAGCAGGACATCAGGCTCTGGCCCCTTGCTGAGTGTCACGGTCTGTGGCTGGGCTCCTGGAGGGGCTGCTGTGTGCAAACCGGGCCGTAGGATGGCCACAGCCACAAGTTCCCTACCCTGAGAGGAGCAGAGAGCAGAGCGGGGCAGGGGGCCGCATGGCAGTCACAGGACCCAGCTGATCACACACACCTCGTGCTCTGGCTTTGTTCCTGCAGGGATGAGTTCAACATCCAAGTCCTGCATGCCTTCGTGGAGCTGCACGAGTTCACGGACCTCAACCTCGTCCAGGCACTGCGGTGAGCCGGGGACCAAGGGGGGCCGGGCTGTGAGCTGTGTGCCCTGCAGGGCCCTGAGGGCAGGAGGGTGCACAGAGCCCCAAAACAGTGCTGTGCCTGCTGTCCTCAGGCAGTTCCTGTGGAGCTTTCGGCTGCCAGGAGAGGCACAGAAGATCGATCGGATGATGGAGGCCTTTGCACAGCGGTACTGCCAGTGCAACCCCGGCGTCTTCCAGTCCACAGGTGAGCACATTCCGGGCCTGTGCCCAGCTCCATGTCCTGCCTTGCACCTGACCGTCCCCTCTGTCCCCGCAGACACCTGCTATGTGCTCTCCTTTGCTATCATCATGCTGAATACCAGCCTGCACAACCCCAACGTCAAGGACAAACCCACAGCAGAGCGCTTTATTGCCATGAACCGTGGCATCAACGATGGGGGGGACCTCCCTGAGGAGCTGCTGCGGGTAAGGGATGGGATGCCAGGGTTCAGGGCTGGGGCACAGCGGGCTCACAGAGGTGACACCGTGTGTGGTTGTACCAGAATCTCTATGAGAGCATCAAGAATGAACCCTTCAAAATCCCAGAGGATGATGGCAATGACCTCACCCACACCTTCTTCAACCCCGACCGGGAGGGCTGGCTGCTGAAGCTGGGTGAGTGCTGGCAACCAGATGGGTGCAGAGTGAGCTCTGCCTCAGGAACTGGGCTGAACCATGAGTGTGATGCCCACAGACTGCCTGCACCTGGCTCTGTGGAGCACAGCCCTGCCAAGGGATGAGGGGCTGCAGCCATGAGCACAGCCCCCAGGGACGGTGTCCTTACCTCTGTCCCTCCATCGGCCTCGCACTGAGCAGCAGGAGCAGAGCTGCTGCTGGAGAGACCCTTTGCTGCAGCCACGTGGGCTCCCAGAGGGATTCTGCCTCGAGGCTGCTGTGCTGAGCTGGTGCCGGCTCTGGTGTCAGAGCACAGAGCTGGGGGGCTCTGCACAGCACTGGGGCACAGCAGGGTCCCATTGGAGCCCCAGGGAGCGAACGGCGAGCTGCCCCCGGGCTGCGTGTCCCCTCCATGCCTCAGAGCGGTCCCTGCCTCACCTTCCCACAGCATTATCACCTCTGCATCCCGGCTCCACATGCAGGCAGCGTGCATGGCATCCCCGCTGCACAGCCCAGCGCGCAGACACGAGCCTGCCCCACACCCTGGCTCCTGCAGCTTCTCATCTCGGCACCTCCTGGGGACCTCTGCCCGGGTTGAGCGAGGAGGGGGGGTGCTGGCAGGAGCAGGGGCTGCAGGGCCTTTCCCTGGGCTCTTGCTGAAGTTGGGGCTCTGTCCTCTCACTGGGGGGAGTTTTTGCTCTGTTGCCACCCCTGTGAGGTGGGATCAGGACCTTATCCCTTTCTGTGCAATGAGCGGCACGGAGCCCTGCCTGGGCTCTGAACAAAGCGCCAACTGCTCCCCAGCTGTGGGATGGGGGCATGAGGGGCCGTGAAGAACCCTTGGCCCCTGCCTCTTGTGTCCCCATCGATCCCAGCGCTCTGCTGGTGGAAGGGTCCCATAGCACGAGGGTTGGGGCTGCTCAGAGCCCAGGGACACCAACAGTGTAGCAGAGCCCATGAGCCCCAGCACCATTGAGCCCCCTTGGGGCTGTGGGCAAGAGGGAGGGGGGGGCACAGCCACAGAGCCAGGGCATGTTATCCTGTTATCCCCGTGGTGGTGCTGCTGGCCCGTCCCCTCAAAGCTCCCCATCTGCAGCCCTGTCCCGCTGACACACATGGCTCTGTGCGGGGCGAGGGGGGTTCTTTGGGGGTTTTCCTCTTTTTTATTTTTATTTTTCCTTTTTTTTTTTTTTTAATTTTCTTTTTTCCCTCATTTGTATGTTTCCATGATTTTGGCTCTTCCTTTCCTTGCCCCCCAACTCCAGGAGGTACGTACCCCTATCCCCTGCTCTGCTCATGCCTCTGGGGCTTTGTTTCCTTTTCGTTTTTAATTGCTGGCGATTAGTCTCATTGCTGCTGCTGCTAACCACCGCACTGCCCGGGGGGACCTTGCCTGCAGGGGGCAGCCCCGCACCCGCAGCCACCAGGGCAGGGACGTGGCTGCTGGTCCCTCCGATGCCGAACGCTCCCCGAGGCCTCCCGGTTCCCTCTGCTGCCCTGAGTCCCATCTTGAGGACAAATGGGGCAGTGAGCACTGTTCACCGAGGTGCTGGTGTGCCCTCAGACCCATCCACAACTGGTCGTTGCTTCCAGTACCTTGAGGGATGGGGCTGGGATTGTGGTGTTTCAGGGCATCCGGGAAGGGCCCAGCCTGCGTGCCTGAAGCTGGCTGGGTGCAGGGAGCAGGTGGGAGTTTATGTGCAGAGTTCTGTGCCATGCTGGAGCTCGTGGCTGTCCTGGTGCTGGGCACAGGCGCTGCCCTGGCTCAGCCTGTGGGAGCACAGAGCCCAGCTGGGCAGCGCTGGCCCCTCACTCTGGCCAGCCCCAGGGCTGTGCTGGTTCTCGGTGCCACGCGGTTCCTCCTCCAGAGCTCTGGCATGTTGTCACCTGGTGAGGCTGTAGCCTGCAAGGAGGGCTTGGGAAGAGCTGGAGTTTCTTGAGGTGGGGGCTGGAGGGCATCGAGCCTCGAGCCGTTGGGTGGGCTTGGCTCAAGGTGAGCAGGGGAGGGGGGGCTTTACTGGGAAATGCCAGCCCTGGCCTGGCTTTGGGGCAGGGAATGGGGTGTGGAGGCTTTCTCAGGAGCGGGCTCTGTCTGTGGTCGGGTTAATGGGTGGGCAGGAGGGTGGCATGGGGGGGATGTGAGGCAGGAATCTTCCTGCAGAGCCAAACAGAGGGAGAAGAAATGAGCACATTCCCTTTGCGCACACATTGCTTCTTTGTGCCCACCCTGGGCAGCATGGCTGGCACCCATAGCACAGCGCTGAGCAGAGCAGCTAGTGCCTGGAGCGTGCTGGGGGTGTGAGGGCAGAGCCAGGCCCAGCACTGCAGCACTCTGTGAGCCTGGGGGGGAGCGCTCTGCCTTCGCAGTGGTGGGTGTAGAACTCTCTGGCCAAAGTTTGCATGCTGCAGCGCTGAGCTCTGCCTTGCCTTGGCAGTGGGCTGTGCTGCAGGGCTGGCTGCGGCCTGCAGCCCCTCTGAGCTGCGGCACCCTCTGCCTGCACATCAGCGTTTTATTGGTGCAAACGGGCACAGCAGTGCTCCCATCCCTGCCCTCCCACCGCCCTCTGTCTCCATCCTCATCCGCCTGCTTTCCGCTCGTGCTCTGCCGGCGTGCTGCGTGCTGCCTGCTGCTCTGCGCCCGGCGCTCTGGGCTGCCTGCCTCTGCTTGTCTGTGTGCGTCCGCGTGGGCTGCAGCGCTGCCGTGCCGTGCTGTGTAGCAGCACCAGGGCTGCCCCAACCTCCTCTCTCTGCTCCCAGGAGGAAGGGTGAAGACGTGGAAGCGGCGCTGGTTCATCCTGACAGACAACTGCCTTTACTACTTTGAATACACGACGGTCAGTGACCTGAGCAGGGGTTGGGGCAGAGCGACGGGTGCGGGGTGGGGACCTCCGGGGGGTGTTGTGCCCTGCACCATGGCCCTAGGGGTTGGGATGCAGACTAGGGCTGGGCAGTGTTGGCAGCCTCTGCACAGGGAGTGTTGGATGGAGTGCTGGAAGAGCTCAACCCTTCCTATGGGGCACTGGGAAGGAGTTGGAGGTGTCTTTAATGAAAACCTCTGCTTGGCCCCATCAGGATAAAGAGCCACGTGGCATCATCCCCCTGGAGAACCTGAGCATCCGTGAGGTGGAGGACTCCAAGAAACCCGTGAGTGCCAGGCAGGATCCTGCGAGGCTGGAGGGGCACCTGGGGAGGGTGGGACAGGGAGAGCCAGAGGGCCCTGCTGTGGTGACAGGGCACAGCTGTGGGGTGATGTCACAGCATGTCCTCATCCTGCTGAGCTGGATGTGCTGGGAGCCCCACTGCTCTGCATCGTCCCCCCAGCCCGGGGTGCCCCACTGCCCTCGGGGTGGGGGCTGTGTCTGAAGGACTTCCTCCCTGCAGAACTGCTTTGAGCTCTACATCCCAGACAACAAGGACCAGGTAATCAAGGCGTGCAAGACGGAGGCGGACGGGCGGGTGGTGGAGGGCAACCACACCGTGTACCGCATCTCAGCCCCCACGCCTGAGGAGAAGGAGGAGTGGATCAAGTGCATCAAGTGAGCGCTCTGGGGGCCATCCCCTGCTCTCAGAGTGGGGAGTGGTGGGGGGAAAGGGCTTCGCATGGGGTGCAAAGGGGGGCTGTCCCCAGCAGGACAGCTGCTGGCTGACACTCGCCATGCTCCCCCACCAGGGCAGCCATCAGCCGGGACCCATTCTACGAGATGCTGGCTGCCAGGAAGAAGAAGGTGTCCTCCACCAAGAGGCATTAGCAGCCTGGCGAGGCCGCCGGGCCCCAGGCAGCACCGTACCTCCCATCCCCAGGGCTGCGGGGCTGGGGCTCAGCACGGCCGTGGGGCCAGGACCCAGCTTCAGCTTTGCAGTTTCTTTACCGTGGGGGGAGGGAAAGAGCAAGGGCGTCTCGGTGCCATTGCCACCTCACTTCCAGACAGCTCCAGGCTGCAGCTGGGATTCCCCTGCGCACAGTCCTGGGGTTGGCTGTGGGATGGGAAGTGCCGCCTGTGCACATCGCTCTCCCTTCCCACCTTGGCAGCCCAATGCTTGTCCAGCATTCCCCCGCTGAGCTCCCCCTGAGCAGCTTCCAGCCCTGGGCAGCATTGAGCTGCAGCCAATGGGCAGAATGAGAGCCAGATCAAGGGGAATCCAGGGACCCCATGTTGGGGACATGCTTCTGGGTCCCAGCACTCGTGTCCTGAAGCACTTGAGGTGTCCCATCCTGGAGAAGAAGGCTGGTGGCTGTGGGGTGCTGGAGGCATGGGGCAGCCCTGGGGCAGTGGCAGCACTCTTGGCCCTCGTTGTAGCGGGCTTGGGGTGCCCTCCCCAGCCATGAGGTGCCAGAGCTGGGTGAGGCTGCAGTCTGATGGCACCGGGCTGGTGCTGCCTTGCCACATCCTGCAGCCATGAGCCCCTTGGTGCCGGGTTGGGACGGCCATCGTGAGCCCCCCCCCCGTTCCCAGGCAGGACTGCACCAAGGATGGCTGCAATCAGGATGTGGCCCCACGAGCACCACGGCCGTCCCATTCCCCAGCCACACGCACAGGTCCGGAGAGGCACCTGGATCAGTATTAGTCTATTTATCAGAGGTGTAAATATTCCTGTATAGTTTTCTCCTTTTAGATTATTTTGTATGTTGGGGTTCTGTGCAGAGGTCTCTCTGGAGGGCGCGGTGTGGCAGGATTTTATATTCTTTTTTTTTTTTCCTTTTTTTTTTTTCTTTTTTTTTTTTTTGCCACGGCTTTGTAAACTGCTGAGGATCTGCAGCCAATAAACACCGAACTGCGCTCAATTCCTGTCTTCCTGGGCTTTGTTGCGGGGTTCTGGGCCGAGCAACGTCCCAGTCCTGAGGTTTTGGGAAGCAGGGACCGCGGGGCAGGACGGCTCCTGCTGCTGTGGGCTGGGGTCGAGCCCTCGTGCCGCCCTTTGGGGAGCTGCGGGGCGAGGAGGGGGCGGCTCCTGGTCCCCATCACAGCTCACGGGGACCTGCGTCCAGCTGGGGGGAGGAGAGCAATCGACCCCTCCTGACGGCAGCCAGGGGTTATTGGGGCAGCCCCGCGCTTCTGAGGCAGTTGGGCCGCAGCTGGCGTCGGTTTGGGGCTGGTGCCGGCGTCGGTTTGGGGCTGGTGCCG